CCCCCCCCATGTTTTCTCCCTGTCTTGGTATATATAGGTTCACGCTGCCTTGTGCATGTACTTCGTTCCAAGTGGGCTGAGCGATGAGATCTTTTGCGGTCGGCCGGTGCCTCCCGGTTCCGTGAGACTGTGACGTATTGGGAAGAACAGGGCAACGGCTTGCCGCTGCTGATTATATTCTTGAGCTGTTGGGCAGAGGTTCTGGTCGTGGAGAGAAAGAGCTGGTCTGATGTTCTGGTCTGACCTAGGTGGGTGAACGCACGGCTGCGGTGGAGGAAGCTTGCGAGAAGAAGGAACGGCAGGTGTTAGTATTATGAAGCAGCAGACAGCAATCTGACATTGTTTCTCCGTTGGGTCTTTCAGTTTTGAAGTTCGGTCGCTGGGAGAGCTGCCTCGTGTCTGCGTTGAGAGGAAAGTGTGCGTCCAGACCGGTTTTTGATGGGCAGGCGGCTCTTCAGGTTGTAGTATCTATTCCGGTCAGATTAGTGTCCGAGAGCCCCTTCTGCTGCCCTTCTGCCGGTCACCTGGGTCTGTCTGATGCACGGAGGTGACGGCGCACAGTCTGCTTTGCTTGAGAAAAAGGGTGCGGTTTCCCGTGCCTTTGTCTTCCGTCTCGGTCACGTGGCCCTAAAACACGAGCAGCTCGGCAAATGGACGTGTCCTTGTGCTCAGATCGATCGCATGCTCTCTCGTTGCCTCTTGCGAGCAGAGGGAATCTTGGAGGGATGCGTTTCGTGCAGGGATGCTCTTGACTGTTTTTCTTGGTCTTGTATTTCTTGAGAAGGGTTCTCTGTAGAGAACCCATCCTATTACGTGGGGAAATCCTCAAACAAAGAAGAGGCCTGCAGTGGGGATTGTAATCTAATAAACCAGGAGAAGGTGGAAAAAGGGAACGAGTCGAGCACAGGCGCCGATGTACCATATGCTGAGGGTGGATTTTGTTGTTGATTGTTTTTTTTGGTTTGGTTTTTGGTGGTTGGGTTTTTAGTGGGTTGGTTGTTATTTTTACTTGGGGCAGGATTAGCACGGGATGGGGGCGAGAGGGAGAGAGAAGAAACAGCAAAGCTTCTGCAATGAAGAAGGGTTAACGCACTTGACGTAGTTGACTGCTGTTCGGGATTATTTTCCTTTCTCATTTGGGCTCGCCTGTCTCAAATTAATGTAGTGTTGGTGAGTCTAAGCCTTGACTGGAGACCTTGTTTCCTTTCTTTGTACGGATAAGCCAAGGTCGATAGAGTTGCGGTGTGCGGCAGTTCTGCGTGCTGGCCGGATTCGTGGAAATGGACCGGGGTGTCTCCGGGGCCCTGCGTTAGAATTGTTTGTCCTCTTTGAAACTATCTGGGATATGTTGACTGCTGGGAACTAACAGAGTTCTCTTTTTGTAGAGTTCGGTGCAGATCACATTTGAAGAGGGTCCTCAGTTACCACCGGCCGCAAATATAAGTTTTGTGACGTGCGAGGGACGGTCAGACCGCAGCATGGTAAGGCTTTGCCGTTCTGAGTTGTACGGTGTGGGGTTCCTCGGTCGACGCGTGGCATTTTCGATGGACATTGCAGAGGCTTGTGTGATGGGGATGGTGGAACCGGGGAAGTTTTGGATGAGGTCTGTCACCGAGTTCGGAGGCCTGTCGACGGGCTCGTGAGATTGCGGCTCTAGGGCTGCGCATCGGGGAGCTCCGGGAGAGCACTGGTGGGAGGTGATGTTTTGGTGGAGCTGGGGTGTAGGGTTGCTGAGCCCAAATATAGGGGTCCTATGGTGGAGAGGAGAAGAGAGGTCCTGTCACTGGTACGTCTTCATTGCCTCCCATATGGAGTCTGAAATGGCGGGTTTGTGGCGCGGGACTGGGTCCGGGAGTAAGCCTGATGTTTCTTTCGTGCTGCGATGGGTCAGCCTTGCCTCTCGCTTTTATAGAGGTTTTGCCATTGCACGGCTGCCTCTCGGCAAGGATATAAACTTGTGTCCTTCCTTTTCTCTCTAGGTGCTATGCTGCCATCTGTCAGCTGAAGCTGTGAAGTTCCCTGTCTCTGTTACTCAGCAGTCCCCAGTTGCTGTTTCTGTGGACACCTATCATGTCACTTTGGCTGTGCTGCAGGCTCAGGTAACGGCTGTAAAAAGTCAGCCATTGAACTCGTTATTTCACCCAGCCCCGCGCCGATCGAGGAAGGAAGACCCGATTGAGTGCAAATAAAGGCCTCTTTGTGCCAGATGAAGCGGTGTGCTATTGCTAACGTTTGGTGGGATGGCAAATATTCCGGATTTGCATACTGACTCCCATTTTCTGAGTCTTGGTCTGCAGATCTTGGCCATGTAACGTAGCCGTTACAAAATCCGGAGAGATTTGAGTCTTGGCAGCGTTCTGTACTGTGTTTTCAACCGGGCGTTTAAGAAGCGGAAGGTCCACAGAGTTCAGTTCCCCTCGCTGCCTGACGGATGGGGAAAGATGCGCCCTGTGCATATGTACAATTATGATGTCCTGGTTGTTGATGTGAAAAGAAATCCGCGGTGAGGAGTGCTTTTCTTGTCAGTGCTCCCCTTAATACATTCACAGGAGTGTGATAGAGGTGTGTTTTTTTTCGTGTGTCCGTCCCCCCGCCCCCCCCCACCGTGTGTTGCGTATGGGAGGTGCTTCTTCCGGAACAGAAGCTCTGTGAAATAGCAACGGGTGGTAGCTCCGTAGTCGCTTTCTGGCTGGATTTGCTTCTCTGGAATGTGATTTTTTTTGTTCCTGTCGTGAAGAAGGGCTTGATGCTGGAGACGGTATCTTGCTCGGAGGCCGTGCCCTCATTTGTGCTCTAGGGAGACGTGAAATTAGAAGTACCTCTGTGGTAGCAGCGGCTGATCCCGTGCTATTGCAGGTATTGCAATTGGAGGGTCATTCTAGAACCCCTTTGCTCTGAGAAGCTTTATTAAAATTTTCAAACTACATTTATCGGATCATCCTGCTTTGATTTTGTACCTCCGTTCCGTGGTTGTTTAAATAGTTTCTCTCTCTCTCTCCTTGGCGTTTAGCTTGCCTGCTGCCAGTCTAGTCACGGGCTGTGACTGCGATCAGTTTTCATCTTTGCATAGGCTCTGGGAGTCGGGTGGCCTTTGTCATGTCTCATCAAATTGCTCTTCTGCTCGATGGCATTTTCTAGGTCTCCTTGTCTGTGCCTGTTGAAGTTTTGGGTTGATCGTTCTCGTGGAGAACTGCGTGTGGTATTCTAATTGAGGTCTTGCTGCTGCCTTGTGAAACGCTGGTAGGGTTACCGTGTGCCCGTTGGTCGGCGTATTTAGAGTACTGTATTCCTAAAGGTGCCTTTTATGCACCTCTTGTCGGTTACTTACGTGGCTGTCGTGTCCCAGATCTCTTGCTTTGGGCTGATGACCACCTGTGTTCGTGGTAAATAAACGTCAGTCTGTTTATTAATTTAGAACTGTGTTAGATTTCATTCCCCTGTTTTGACTAGAGGTAGCAGGTTAGGAGTTCTTCCTGTGTGGCTCTGTTTCTGTCTGTTGCGTTAATGATGCCTTTCGGGTGTACAGGTGTGCGACTTTTCAACTGACCTACGGGACGGTGTAGGGTCTGGTTTGTTGTCGTGCACTGTCAGCAACCTGGATGAGTTTTTCCAGCCTGAGGATGATCTCCTACGGATGCGCTGCTAACTTACAAATGGCCGTGCTTAGGTTTGGCAACGGTTATTTGATGTAGCTTGGTAAATACCCCGTGTCGGTGCCTGACTCGCTCTTTCGGATGGTCCTGCGGGCTTTTTCTTCGGCCAAAGAAATAACCTGTTGTTTTTCCCTCTGGTGGTGCTTGGGCATCCGAAGGCGGCGAGGAAGCTGGATCTCGCTACGTAGCGGTGAGGCTTCTGCGACTGCTTTTTCCCGTAGGCCTGGGACCGCTTGTGTTCTTCTGTCTCTTATTGTTGCACTGGTGTTGAGGGCCTCTCGGTCGCTGAACTTGAAGCAGGGCTAAAAGCATCTAACGGAAACAGAAACTGTTCCTGACTGTGGGTATTTGTTCTGGGCCAGGTGGAGATCCACTTGGAGGAGATACAGAACGAAGGTCTCCTGGTGTCGTGGACGTTCAAGGACAGACCGGACTTGAACCTTTCGGTTATTCCGAGACTTTGGCTTCGCGAGGTGAGCGGCAAACAGTGAGAGGCTGGACTTGAGTGGAGGAAGGGCGGGAGGGGCGGAAACAGCGCCGAGCCAGAAGGAAGGCTGCTGCGGATGGGAGAGGTTGGCAACTCGCCATCGTGGCCCTTTAGGGCAAGGGAGGGGATTCTTTCGCCCTGGAATCGATACTAGCTCAGCTCTGTTAAAACAGCGCATCCTCAAGAGGGCCGAAGCAGTACCGACGTCCATTGTTTGAGTTTCATGTAACAGCTGAATGGGAGTCTGCGTAGCAAAAAAGGCTTTCTGTCTACATAGGTCCTCCTGCCGTTGTCAGATGTAGAGCTGCAAAATCAGCTGGGTTGGTTCGTTTATTTTTTTTATTATTTTTGTGGGTTGGTTTTTTTTCCTTCATTTTGCTTTGTTTGTTTTTGTTTTTCTTTTTTTCTTGAGAGGTTAGCATGCAGAACCTGTGGGTGCCTGCGCTTCTGTGATCCAGATAGGTTCGTCGATTTGTTTGTTTTATTAACGCCGTTATTGCTTTATCCTAAGTGGATGTAGGAATTTGGCTGTTCTCCCGAAAGTCCGGTAGTATCGTCTCACGAGGTGGTGAGGACGTGGCGAACCGTAGAAGCTGTATTGTCGAAATTTGCAATGGGTAGACTACAGATGTAGAGGCTTAGTTTGTCTCATTTGGACAACTTACATTTGCCTCCAGCTGTTACGCGGAAGCTTTGAGCGCTGGGGAGAGTGCGGGCAGGATATGGGGGAGAGTACCTGGGAGGTTATTACTGGGAGAAAGCCTGTGTAGCGTCTTAGAGGCTCGAGAGACAGTTGGAGCTGTGTAAGGAGAAAATACGTCTGCCTTCTTATGACTTTCCTGCATTTCCTCTTGATTTGTGGAGAGAAGAATGAAGGGAGAGCCGATCTGTCCACCGTGAAGGATCTGATTGAGGATACCATTGTCAGCACGCAGCCGGCGATGATGGTGAATCTGAAGGCCTGCACCGCTGGAGCCGGTGCGGTAAGGCGCTCTCCTCTTTCATTCTCTTGTCGTTCTTCTGTCATTCTGGTGCCTTTAACGCTGTGCCCCGGGGCGCCTCTGAAGGCCGGTGCTCGGGCAGGAATCCAGGGATTGAGACTTGCTTCTGGGCGACAGCCGCATCCTGGCCTGCGCTGTCGTAGGAGTTGGGGTGATGTGGCACCAAGAGTAGGGGCAATTAGAAAGTGCTATGAAGGGCAACTCTGTACCTTGTTTCCTGAACGCCGAGCGCCAGCGGGGTTGAGATGGAGCTGGATTGTCCTAGACGCATCTCTGTTTTGGCGGTCTCTCTGTTGCTCTGAACGCCAAGGCTCTGCCCAGGGTGACCTTTACGGGCGTGGAGTGGTCTGTGGTTTGTCGTCTTCGGTTGACCATCTGGCAGCCAGCAAGCTTGTTCTTGTCTGTCTCTTTTAACGTCGGCCTTAAATTTCCCATCTGAAGTAACACGTGGGTCCGCCGGAGGTCGACAGCTTGGGGAACCTGCCGCATCTCTTGATGGCTCTGTGGGTATTCCCCTGTGTTGGTGTGAGGAGCTACTTAGTAGATGCGAGGACGAACGTCACGCGTCTCGCCGCTCTCTGCTGGCGAGTGAACGATAAAGGCGTCGGTCTCGCTCTCGTCGTTCCTCAGGTACCCGGCAATAAGCTGACTCGAGAGTCTCCGTCCAGAGTGGCAGCGGCCCCTCTGGCTTCTAAGCTGTCGCTGCGGAATCTTCGAGTGCTGAACTTGGGCCGCCAGGGCGAGGAGGGTAAGCGTGAAAACATCGTTGTTCCGCTGGGGTGAGAGTGTGGGTGGTGAGACTGGAGCGAGTGGATGTTTTGGGTGGGTTTGGGCGGAAAGGAGGGGCGCGTGTCCACTGAGCAGCTGCCTCGCGTTGATAAGCACGCGTCTGTGCTCTGTCCCTCTGTTGCAGGAGTTGGGGAGATATGCTGCGTGGCAGAGCTAGACAGCCCGCCGCAGCAGAAACGGACGAGGCCAGTGGCGGGGGGGGGGGGCCGGGGCGGCGGACGGGGAG